CCTGTATAAAACTACACTTAAACCTACCCCGACACCACCTGTATAAAACTACACTAAAACCTACCCCGACACCACCTGTATAAAACTACACTTAAACCTACCCCGACACCACCTGTATAAAACTACACTAAAACCTTCCCCAGACACCACCTGTATAAAACTACACTTACACCTACCCCAGACACCACCTGTTTAAAACTACACTAAAACCTACCCCAGACACCACCTGTATAAAACTACACTTACATCTACCCCAGACACCACCTGTTTAAAACTACACTTACACCTACCTTAGAGACCAACTGTTTATAATTATACTGATACACATACACCTACCACAGACAACACCTGTATAAAACTACACTTACACCTACCTTAGAGACCAACTGTTTATAATTATACTGATACACATACACCTACTACAGACACCACCTGTATAAAACTACACGAAAACCTACCTTAGACACCACCTGTTTATAACTACACTAAAACCTACCGTAGACATCACCTGTTTATAACTACACTAAAACCTGCCTCAGACACCAACTGTCTATAACTACGCTAACATCTACCTCAGACACCATCTGTATAAAACTACACTAAAACCTGCCCCAGACACCACCTGTCTATAACTACACTCAAACCTCCCTCAGACACCACTTGTCTATAACTCCACTAAAACCTGCCTCAGACACCAACTGTCTATAATTATACTGATTCACTTACTCCTACTACAGACACCACCTGTATAAAACTACACTTAAACCTACCTTAGAGACCAACTGTCTATAACTACATTAAAACCTGCCCCAGACACCACCTGTCTATAACTACACTCAACCCTCCCTCAGACACCAACTGTCTATAATTATACTGATTCACTTACTCCTACTACAGACACCACCCGTATAAAACTACACTTAAACCTACCTGAGAGACCAACTGTCTATAACTACATTAAAGCCTGCCTCAGACACCAACTGTCTATAATTATACTGATTCACTTAAACCTACCTTAGAGACCAACTGTCTATAACTACATTAAAACCTGCCTCAGACACCACTTGTCTATAACTACACTCAAACCTCCCTCAGACACCAACTGTCTATAACTACATTAAAACCTGCCTCAGACACCAACTGTCTATAACTACACTCAAACCTCCCTTAGACACCACTTGTCTATAACTACACTAAAACCTGCCTCAGACACCACTTGACTATAACTACATTAAAACCTGCCTCAGACCCCACTTGTCTATAACTACATTAAAACCTGCCTTAGGCACCACTTGTCTATAACTACACTCAACCCTCCCTCAGACACCAACTGTCTATAACTACATTAAACCCTGCCTCAGACACCAACTGTCTATAATTATACTGATTCACTTACTCCTACTACAGACACCAACTGTATATAACTACATTAAAACCTGCCCCAGACACCACCTGTCTATAACTACACTCAAACCTCCCTCAGACACCACTTGTCTATAACTACATTAAAACCTGCCTTAGACACCACTTGTCTATAACTACACTCAAACCTCCCTCAGACACCACTTGTCTATAACTAAATTAAAACCTGCCTTAGACACCACTTGTCTATAACTACACACAAACCTCCCTCAGACACCACTTGTCTATAACTAAATTAAAACCTGCCTTAGACACCACTTGTCTATAACTACACTCAAACCTCCCTCAGACACCACTTGTCTATAACTAAATTAAAACCTGCCTTAGACACCACTTGTCTATAACTACACACAAACCTCCCTCAGACACCACTTGTCTATAACTACCCTAAACCCTGCCTTAGACACCAACTGTCTATAACTACATTAAACCCTGCCTTAGACCCCACCTGTCTATAACTACATTAAAACCTGCCTTAGGCACCACTTGTCTATAACTACACTCAAACCTCCCTCAGACTCCACTTGTCTATAACTACATTAAAACCTGCCCTAGACACCACTTGTCTATAACTACACTCAACCCTCCCTCAGACACCACTTGTCTATAACTACACTAAAACCTGCCTCAGACACCAACTGTCTATAACTACACTGAAATCTTACTTCAAACACCACCAGCATATAGTAACTTGTATATCATTATCATCAAAATGTCTGTTTGTCTATAACTTCAATTGTCTGCCGCCTTCTACTTATTGTTTGATTACCAAAATCTAACAAAATCTATTTGTTTTTCATTTCCACCGTAAGCTTTTATACAATTCATCCTTATCTAGTTAACATTAACTTATTCCAATTAGGTGTTCATCTATCTTAATGTATAGTTACCTCTCTATGTAATAAGGAAACATTTGAACCTCTCAACTACGTACTTTAAAAACATAAAAAAAAATCACCTTTCCTGCACTGTTTGTCACAACACAGGAATATTCATTAATAGATATCTTCATTACATTTTGATTGATATTATTTTCACTTTAGCTAAAACTAATAGAAAAATATGAGAGTCATTGGTCACAATAAGGCTAAAATAGTGATAGAAACGTTTGCATGATAAATGCTTGCAAACATCCAATCTTGAGAGTTTGGACATAAAACGTCATTAAAGAACAATATAAAAACTTAATACAACTTAGTTTAAAGGTTTCTCATTTTAAATAGGCGTTTTGAGATACCCTTATAATGTAAATCGTATATTGATAACGTTAGTATTCTAACAGAATAGGACAACGGTTACACCACAATCTTGTTACTTACTTCAGCTTTGTAATTTACGTTAATCCAGTTTTGTCCTAGAAAATGCAACGTTTTTGCATATCGTCAGTATTCCAGGGCATATGACACCGTATTCACACATTAATTTCACTAGTATGCTACACCTAAGGAAAACATACACATTGAATGTCTCATTGGACGATGTGACACACGGTCTCTGAACGTCGCTAGCTAGCCTCCGTGTAAGTACACACCGACTCGTGTGGCATACCTTAGGCAGGGAATTTCTTTATGACATCTATACGTTTTCGTGTTGTCACATGACATAACAAGATTAAAAAATCGTAGATGAAAAAAACATTTACATCTTCATAGCATGTGAAGTCCTCTTTATTTTATTTCGTTGTCAAGGTGATATAAATCTTCCCTTTTTATCTGTATATAATTGCAAAAACAGAGGTCTGCTTGTGCTTCGTCAACACAGTCGATACAAAAAACAGCAGCAGTCAACAAAATATAAAAAAGAGAGACATATTTACGGCAAGAAACATCCAATATGTTATGTAATAATTACGTGTAGTTTTACTTTATATATCACGTAGTAAATGAAATAACAAGAAAATATGCTTTCACTTTTTTTTTATTCTCATCACATCCTTTTATGACGAAAATCCATAACCAACACGGAATACGTCACGTGTGTGGTCAATGTCGTACCAACCTGTAAACTATGACAAGAATCTGAAAAACAAGACATCAATCTCACCACTCCTCAATCAGGAGCTGTCTGTGGTCAGGATTTGTTTTACAACACTAGTGTACAATTCCACTGTACTGAAGACTGTTCAGTAGTTACTTTGGTACACGTTTCGATGACCTTGCAATGTTTATAGAGAAGATAACAATCAAGTAATTCAAACTCATATGCGAGAGGGAAAGGATTGGTGTGAAGTGCAGTGGGGAGATGGAGAAAGATCTGTAAGGATGGGTTTTCAATGAACATATTTATATGTTTATTGATTTACATGGTATTTACTATAGCTTGTTCATCAATTATCGACACATCTGTTTATTGCACACCACAATTACTTGTCACATGATGAGTTATTAAAGTTTATAATGGCTTATCTAATTTGTCTGTTTTTCATTTTCATCTACAGAAATACTCAAACAACATAAATTTAATTGTCCAACTAAAACCCTATAAAAGTAACAAGGAATAATGTTGATAGTTTTTTTTATTCATAGCATACAAATAATAACAGGTATAAAACAGAAATGATGGATTGATTCACTTTTTATCCGCGTCAAGAAATGCGTCATCAGAACCTGGTTATATTTCTTTTAGTGCTCCTTTCTTGTCTGTGTTTCCTCTTATAAAAATCGAACACTTAAGATTTTTCAAAGTTAGTAAAATATGAAATGTAAACAATGAAACGCATTTATAAGTTTAAGATAATAGCTAAATTGATAATTAAATCTTTCGATTTATATTTTTTGTCTGAGATACTACTACTTTAGTGTCAGTTTAAGTATAACAATTATTAACAATTTAATAAATGTGTGACTTATAATAACCTTGTTATGACTACACAACTAAACATTAAAGTAAATACAAATTGATGATTATACAAAGTATACAGATGTAGCTAAGCAAATTCACACTTTTGGAGGTGTGCATATATTGCTGAGTAAGTGTGCACAAAGATGACTTACTCAGTACAGTGTTAACATCATCGTGTACCTTCCAATTAATCACCGTATAACTGTTACAATGCGTTCATGTCTACTTGTACAACATCTGTGAACAAAATACAAAAATGGCACTGAAATTTAAAAGAAATTCATAATGCTTTTAGTCATTTAATCACTTTTATACAACTAGTTACATATATAAACTTACTTTATCGCCCGCCGTGGATTCGAAATTAAATATCAGCTTGTAGATCCGGTCGTGATATTTCCTTAGACTTGCTGCGATATATATATTGTGCGGTCTACGTTAGGTAACGTTTTATACTCAATTTCGTTTATTCAAGTGCTCTTTTTATATCGAAACCCGGATGTATATACAATGTGTATACAATGTATACATGTGTCAGGCTCTGTTACCTTGTGGTTCAAAGTCACGTGACAATTCTTTTTCTCTGTTAATATTCAATGTCACTGAGTTTTCCAACAAAATTCAAGGCTTTTACCATTTACTATGCTGATAATATAACAACTATCAAGCAGGATAGACTGGTGTCGCCGAGTTTATGGTTTATAATGTAAAGTAATTAAAAGTGAGTACATTCAATAATCTGACACGACATAGAATATATTTAATTAAAATTACATTCAACGCGGTGCGGCTTTTAACATTAACGCGATTGTGATAATACACGAAATATAAGCTGTATGCTGTTCCTCATCTTTTTTTTCTCGTTTTGCCAGATATAAAACTATGGTTTTAATGGCGTACCAGTTTATTTATCAATCACTGTTTAAAAATATCTGATATAACAATGTTCTGTGACTGGTTATAGTAAGAAACAGTAATCCATTTTACATCCGGGTTGGAAACCTTTCATTTGAAATGTTACTCTTCCTGGTCGCTGTGATTGGCGGGTTTGGTTGCTAGGGGAGAGTGTTAGTCCTGTCGGAATGTTATGAAATGGAAACCAGATTCAAATTTTAAAAAGCGCTTTGCATATCTTAAAAATGGATATCCAACGAATATAATTTTATAAACGAATATATATATAATACAAAAAAGATATTTAAAGTTTCGAATTTACAAGTCAGCGACCAACATTTTTGATTTTGTGAGCTTTCCTATTAGTAAACATGATCTCAATCATGAAATAAAGAAAGCTTCGAAATGACCACAAGTTGCCGTGAGGCTATTTTGCGTTATTTATTATCACGTTCTGTATTAAAAAATACAGTGTTGTCGATAATACTGGCTATCAAACTCATTATTTACCACTCGGATGTCAGGCATCGAGGGCATGACATTGCTTGAACCCTGCTATGATAGTAAACGTGAGTTCGATTGATATAATAGCCATAAATTGTTCTGCTCGTGTGAACCTTTCCATAAAAATCGCTTGTCTGCGTTAAAGGTGTATGGCGGATATTCACTATATCACGCAGGAAAAGCCTTACAAACTGGAAACAATATATCACAGTGCCGACATTTCCTTGGTATAATTATGAAGAATGATATATAGCTTTTGTAACTATGGAAAGTGATCAAGAAAAAATAAGTAGCTAAGGTATACAAGACGTCAAAATATGGCAAATGTGCTATATATCTAAAAAAGAAACACCTGTTGGTTCCTCTTTTAATGAAGGACATCGTTAAAGTTGATGTAGAGCAACATAATTGTTTCGGTAGTAATCTCATCAACACAGAAACACTATGACATACGGTGTATGTGACATAATGTTTACTGCTTATAGTCTAACACAAGTCAGGTGTAATATAAACCTCTCAACAGTTTTTGTTCTCTTTTAATCATTTTCTTACTTTGTCTGTGTCTGTTTGAAGGGTAAAAGGGGGTGCAATGTTATCACGTGAAACATTTTGCGTTTAAACAATATTGTATTTATTATGCTGTTCGAAATATTTGTATAATACATATACTATTTACGGCGTTGAATGGAAGTAACACCGAGAAAAAGCATAACTAACAGCACACGTTTTAGATTTACAAGGCATGTTTGATTATTAATCCATCTAGTTGCTTTCAGTTCGCATTCACAGTTTCCTCTTTATATATCAGTTCGTGGTCATATAGGTGCTAACTGAATCTGGTAAAATCATTTCATATCATAGATATATCATGACGAAATGAATCGCTAGCCGTTGGATATTAAGTTTAGCTTGGTTTGTACAGGGACCAGCGTAACCTGTTCACGCTCATTAACCGCGCACGACCAGCAGAAGCGCCCAGTTATAGGGAATGAGTCCAGACACTTGTTGTACACCTTTGTGTCCTGTATAAAAACACAATAGACATGTAGAACGTTTAACAGATACACGTGTAACTTTGGGATATGTCAAGAAATGCAAATGGCAATTTCATTCTAAGCGTTTGTCATTTGCCTGTGCTGGCTGGGTTGTTTGAGTAGGGTATTACGTCCTTGCAACAGCCAGGGTCCTATAAACATACCTGCCTCAACGACCTAGAGTCCCAACCTGACATGGTTATGCTGATGACGACTCAATATTAATCATTTGGAAGTGGACAAAGCATGCCAAAGCGATATCTCACAAGGACATCATTTACCTAGGCGTCATTACAAAGGAACAAACAAATACCACCACATCTACACGTAGCGACAAAATTTACTACAGCGTCAATACCTAATGACAAGTCGGAACTGTACTTCTAAACGGAAAAGAGCGTCACAACGCTTACTGAGGAGACATGGAAGACAATATGTCGGAGGGTAAATATGGTTTAAGGGATGTATACGCTTTTCTTTCATGTTCGTTACATTTGGCACCCATCACGCTGCCATACAATCTAACAAACACCCATATGTCCGATAATATATATTCGATGTGTCATTTGACGACAGTATAATCATCAAGAACTACTCATCTGGTAATCTCCTCTTTCAAAAGATTCCAATCTAGCAATTTACAGTACTGTAAAGGAAACGATTACATAATATTATATAACCTTGATGGATATACAAGACGTTAAAGGTGTCTAACATAAAAGTTATCCAAAACGTGATTTTACAGCATGGATTTTCTATAAGCATGCATTTAGTATGCGATACGCATCTAGCTGTACATGTGACATACAGAAATACAATGAAATAAACTTAAACGAATGTTGTTATGGGCTACATGCGTTATACACGTGCATTTGCTATTGCTAAAATATTTTTTAAGTTGTTTTCTGGCATAAACATTATCTTTTCTTTAGATTTACGGTATGTTAAATAAATTGCAGTTTTATATAAAAAAAAAAAGAGAGAATGTTTTAATCAAATGCAAGCATCTTCCATGCGACATATAAGTACACGGGAGCGATCTACTTTTTGATTAGATTGCCTCTATCACAATAGAATATTGAAAACTGAGTATAACACTTGGAAAATCGTGACATTGTCCCGTGGTAATTCTCTGTATTTAAATTCACAATCATTTAAGCAATATTAAGCAATATTTCGTTAAAATACTGACCACGTTTTTTTTCTGCAACCGTTTAAAAAAACAGTTGCAATTGAGTAAATCGTAGCATCAAGCCATAAAATGTGTGTTGACCAGTAAAAT